ATACAACGAAAGGAGACTGCGACCACACAAAAGGCCACACCATCTTGGTCTTCATATCTTCGATTAAACATAAGTTTGTTTCATCGACAATCCCAACACAGAATGTGATATGGAATATGCGAAAACAAGGTCAAACAACTTCTAAACTTATGTTTGCTATATTAATCGACGACATTTCTTTTTTCATTAATGATTAGGTAATATAAAAAAGGCCTGACCTTTCTTGAAATGCACATCGACCCTGTGACCCACGGGCACTCAATGTAATGCGGCCAAGTGGTTAATATATCGAGCATACGCGCTGCACTGCCACGGTTCAAATCTCGCTTGGTGTGTTGATGAGACCTATGCGAGGTCGAAACTGCAGTCTACAGGTGCCTGGATGAGAAAAACTTTTGGTAAAGCAAGGTTATGCGAAATTGAATGGAAACCTCAGCTCTACTCATATCATTGTGGGAAAATTCAACTGCCAGTCCTTCATCACTTTAAACGAAATAGGGTGAACCTATCACATATATCTGATTTACTGGTAGTCTCGAAAACCTACTCAATAACAAAAATGATATACGATACCCTATAAAGCTTATAACTCACAGCAATCAGCAGCAGAAGTAATATTATTACAAATCAATTTTAAATATCACATTTTTCTGGTTTTTCTATTAAAAGAAAACTCCCTACTAACAGATAAAATCCGAAGAATCCTAGCTTGCCTAGTAATTATTTCAACAGACTCGATAATGTTTTTGTTTATTAAACCTGGGTTAAAAGCCAAATAAGGAAGATAGATGTGATCAAAGCTGTAGCCTAAACAAAATTCAAACGAATATATTTTTTATATATACTACACTTATATTCACTGATGGAATCGAATGTTCTATTTGATCCATCATATCAAACTCAACTACATATTTCTACAATAGAAGACGAAGTACTATGTAGATTCTAAACTTCACTACTCCTAAGTATATTAAGTGAAAAAGAAGGCCAAAAAGTGATTAGGTTATAGATATGAAGAGAAACTGGGTTTCGATGAATTTCTTGAGATAATGTTGTTAGGGGGACTTTCATTTCGCATGAAAGTGAATGAAGAAGAGATTTGTTGGTCGATCTCCCCAGGTGAAGACGGATGAATCTCGTTGGAATGCAGCGGTTTGTCTTTTATGCGACATCCAAGTTGACGCAGTCCACGTGACCTCCTCCCTCGTTTAGGGTGAAAACGGGCTGAGCTTTCGTCCATCATATGATGGACATCATCAGAGCTGAGTGTCATTTTGTAAAAGTCTCATGTTAAAACTAGACCAAGAACACTATCCGGCTCTACCTTACTTCTTATATAGAATCAATCGAGCTAAAAGAAAAATTAAAAATTAAAAAACCTAGATAGATCAATATAGAATGGTTTGGTTAATTTTCTTTCATACTGATCCTGTTATTTTTGCTCTATTGTATGAATATGTGTATTTGTGCGTGTTAGTGTCTATATGCAATACGGTTCCTAAATCATAGTTGTCAAAGTTTGAATCTCAGTTCCTGATCCTCAAGACCCAAGAGAAAGCCTTGACTGAGACTGCGTAAGTCCGTAAACAAGTATGGTTAAGATGATGAGGCATAAGCTTGTAAGCATGAAACCATTTGCCGTGTAGTGTTCTTGCTTTAGTGATAACGTGAGACTTTTACAAGAATGACACCCAGCTCTGATGATGTACATCATATGATGGACGAAAGCTCAGAACGTTTTCACCCAAAACGAGGGAGGTCTCGTGGACTGCGTCAAATGGCTGCAGTACAATGAGATTTATCCGTTCTCATCTGGTGAGATCGACCAACGAATCTCTTCTTCATTCACTTTCAGGCGAACTGAAAGTCTTCCTAACAATGTGATCAGGTTATGCCTATCAGAAGGAACATGCTCTGATTATTGGTTAATTACGAACAAATGTACTCTTAATTACTATAGAAATCCTGATACCCGTACAGTTGCATTTTCAAGATTTTGGTATAAGAAGAGTTCTACTCAATTTTTTTCTCTCACAAATGGGGGTGATTGAGCTCAAATGTTCACGAAACAGAATATGTCGATTTTCATCAGGCCTATAGCAGTCAGTGGAGCTTGAAATGTTGAGAAGAACAGACTTTCTTTTAGACAGATTCAGAAATAATTCTTCATTGCTAACGATTTATCACTTTTGAATAATGAATTATTTTATTGATATAAAATCTGCCAATGATGAAATGAGTATAATGCTCAACTTTGGCATTTAATTTTATTGAAATTATTCGATTCGTCACTCTCAGTTCAATAGCTAACGATTCGAAAACAGTACAAATAAAATACATTCAAGGAAAATATAATCCGGGTACAAACTGATACTGATGTCTGGTATGCAACGTTTCTAACACATTTGACTACAAACATACGGTACCTATAGATACAATATTCCATAGTAGATATGTGAGTTTAGATATGCCTCGTTCGTATTCAAAGACATGTTTGACGTGTATCACAACTGCCAAAAGAAATCCTTATTTTCTTCGAGCCCACGCACTTAGGGTTTTTATACTGTTATGAAAGCTGGTAATAGGACGATGAATCAAAGACTAAAACTCGATCAATTTCAAATCCACTTTTCCTCACTAAATTGTAAGCTAATTGACGACTAGTTTTCAAAACACGAAACCGCAATCCAGCCTGGAAGAGAAAAACTTTTTATAGGAAAAGCTAATTATGAGTCAGGTGGATCATGAAGCCTATTTACTCTATCATGCAAAATAACCCGCAATCATTTCTTAAATCGCCCTTAGGAATTTATGGTTTTGAAAAGGTTTTTGATACCATCATCACCTTGAACTAAATAGGGTGTACATGACTGATGTAGCCAAAAATAGCATTAATAATTTTGACTCTTTCAATCCAGTAAAGTAATACTAGAAAATAATTGTGATTGTTGCATGCTTTATAATGAGTACCAAATTGTTAGATGCATTGACAAGGCTAGCAAAAGTTCATATTTGTCTAACTTTAGAAAATAAATAAACGGGGAGGTAAATAGATATCCTGACCGAATCGGCACACAAGTTCAGATAAAACCTCAGAGAAGTCAGTCACCTGTTCTTGCTTGTTGGCCAGTCAGGTTCGCCGGCCCTGCAAGCCCAGGCAGTGTAGTTTGGCCACCGAGAGTTTGCTCTACTTCAACCTCTTGTCTGAGCTCAGCAGCTGCCTGTCGTTCTCCACTAGCGCTGCCATGACCTCCGCCACAATCAGAACTGGCCCCTGGTATAGTGCCGCCACTTGGTTCACATGTGGGCAGCTCAAGCTGTCGCTTCTTGAATAAAATGGTTTAGAGTGGAAAATGAGGAGAAATAAACAAGCAAAAGTATTTTTCACGAATATCACCTATTTAACCATGGGACCCGCAGTGACAGAGTCATTTGATTACAAAAGTTTTTACATTTTAACTTCTTTGTATTTGTTTCGTATGATATCCCAACCTGAGTAGACTATTTTAGCTATTTGGCATTTGATTTGCAATCGTTCAGAAAGCATATGAAACATATCCCTTCCTCTTAGAAAGCTAAATTCAGGTGGCACAAATAGATTTAGTATAATTAGAATTATAATCATTTGGCTAGTCCATAATTAAATATAAGAAAAAGGTTTGGAGACTCTCTGAAAACTGGGGCATTAAAATATTTTGAATATTATATTTATTATTTAGTTCAAAGCAAAGTACAGAGAATATAAAAATAGAAAGATGATATAAAATAAAAGCCAATCTTTATATGAACATATAAATGGAGCAGCGTACTTTTCGACTATACATTCTCATTTAATACTAAAATTATCTGAATATCAGGTACTACTTAATTCACGCGAGTAGCCATATTATATGAGAGGAATAAATGGATTAAATATCGATATTGTTGTAAGGTTCTCGAAGATTTGTGTGGTATTCGCCTCATGAAAATATGCGCATAGGTTAACTCTAAAGGCGAAATATAATTTTCATGTTATAAAGGATAATAAAGGGACAAATCAGCCTTATGGGACTCTATTTTATAGCTTTTTTCAGTTTACTGACCTATATGGCCTTCTAACAACTCTGTGATCAATAGGCTAAAAACTCCCTGGGATCTTATATTGGCCATTCAAAATTTGTTTCGTATTAGGACCCTTTTGATAATTATATTGTTTTGGCACTTCAGGCAATTAATTTATTTCAACGACTCACTTAAGAAGAGAGAGTTTACGAAGCGGAAACAAATGAATGTTGCTATTTCATTAAATTGTCCATAAATCACATTACATGACATTACTCACTCAACAGCTTATTCCTAAAGCAAATTGAATGAGATATTGAAGCAAGATTCATCAGCATGGAATGTGGTAGTATTTTTAGTTTAGATGATTGAGGTAAGGAGAAAGGGGGCTTTTAAGTAATAATGGACACAATTTA